CCCGAAACCCCAAACCCCTATACCCCAAACCCCTAAACCCCGAAGCCCTAAACCCGAAACCCTAAACCCCTATACCCTAAACCCTGAACCCTCGACTCCAGAGTTTCTGTGGCGATACCTTCAGGGGCATACGGCTGGTGATGTAAATCCTGCATTGCCCATAATACGGAATATAGGGCTTAGGGTTTAGGGTTTAAGGTTTAGGGTTTATGGATGTTTAGGGTATAGGGTTTAGGGTTTAGGGTTTAAGGTTTAGGGTTTATGGATGTTTAAGGTCTAGGGTTTAGGGTTCAGGGTTTAGGGTTACCCATAATAAGGAATATACCTTAATTCCTATAGTTTAGGGCCCTTAAGGTAATGCAGGATTTATATCATCAACAGCAGTGAACCCCGTCGTTAAGAAGTTGCGGTGCCGGGTTTCGGGTTTAGCGTTATTGGGTGAGTTCGGGGCTCCCTTCGTTTAGCTTCGATGCTATCAGACCCTGAACCCTTCACCCTAAACCGTGGCCCGTTCTCAGCAGCAATTAATTTTGGCTGTCTGAAGACTTACCTTTCTCATCCCTTAAAGCTGCTTGAAAAGCATACTTTTGTATGAAGTAATATACCTTCGAAACTCTTCTGATTATTGAGGCCGCCTTCGACCGGATTTAGCGCTTCAGGGACCCACATGTGTACTAGGTACCTACTATGTTGGTACTTCGACCCGTTGGGACCATCATCATCATCCTAAGTCCTATATAAGCCCTAAGCCCTGAACCTTGGACCCTAAACCCTAAACCGTACTAAGCCTTCAGACCTACACCCCAGTTGAACCGTAATACTGTTCCCTAAGGGTCCATGTACCCAAATAGTATACACTTTGGCCTTAAAGTAGTCCCTATATAGGTACGTTGGGGCCAAAGTATATACCATTTGGGCACATGGACCCTTAGGGGTTGCTGTACATGAAAACGCTAGCAGCGACCAGGGCGAGCAGAAGCCAGAATCAGGGAGCTGAGCATGAAAAGGAGCATGAACGCAGCCATGTTCCCCAACCCCACACCCTAAACTCTAGACCGTAAGATGAAGAAGATGATGACGATGGTGATGATGACGATGATGATGAAGATGATGATGATGACGATGATGATGATGATGATGATGAGGAGGAGGACCATACCGAGACCTTGCTCCCAAGGCCAACGGTCTGCCCCCGAGGATTTCGGGATCGTGCCGGCCGAGCTTCGTAGCCACTGGAGCTGGCGTAGTCTTGGCACCTCGGTTCCCCAGTAGCCCCCTAAATAATAAGGGTACCCTTTTTCCTGCCATTTGGTTTTATTAAGGGAACCCCAAAAGAAAAGGGCAACAGGGTACTACTGGGAAACCTAGGCACAGGATCGCGTAGGTTTTGGACATGTTCGCAGTTTCGTCGTATTGGAAGCTGACCTTCAGAAGGGCTTGGTTTAGGGAAAGTCTAGGATTTGGGCTTTAGGGCTGGGGTTTAAGCTTTATGGCTGAGGGTTCTCTGTTTTGAAACCCTTCTGCAACTAATTGCTAACGTAGGCCTTACGATAAGGATTCGAGACAGTGGAAGCTGACCTTCACGGCATTGTGAGGCGTGAAATCCAGGGGATCCTTCGCAATCAGCTGACCATTGAAGTAGAACTCGAAGTAGTTGTCGCAGTAAATATATCCAGTGATGTCCTGGGTCCAGGTTTATGTGGGCAGTTCTCTAAATTAGGGTCCCTTCTTAGGTCCCCAATATTCTACGGCACCCTTATCAAAAGGACCCTGGAATAGACCCTAATTTAGAAAACTACCCATGTGGGAGTTTCCGAAAATTAAGGGTACCTTATTTTGGGATCCTTATAATAAGGATCCTATTATTTGGGGTACTATATTAGGGTCCTCTAATTTCGGAAACCCCCACGTGGAGATCAACTACCGAAACTGTGAGAAAGTGCAGCACATCGACTGCCAGACCCAAGTCAAAACATTAGGGTTTAGGGTTTAGGGTTTAGGGTTTGGGGTTTAGGGTCAAAACATTTGGGTTTAGGGTTTAGGGCTTAGGGTTTGGGGTTTAGGGTCAAAACATTTGAGTTTAGGGTTTGGGGTTTAGGGTCAAAATATTGGGTTTAGGGTTTAGGGTTTGGGGGCATTCCTGCCCCTTGATAAAGCAAGGGCCCTGAATGATTGGAATAAGGTTCCAGGGCTATGCTAGGGTGCATTATGGTGTAACTTTTTTTGGCAATCCAAAGGCATACTGGTAACATAGGGGCCGTAATAATCAGAATACGGTTTTGGGATTCCTTATCATACTAAACCCTAAACCCTAAACCCTAAACCCTAAACCCTAAACCCGAAACCCTAAACCCTAAACCCTAAACCCTAAACTACTATATATTGCAATTTTTCCGAGCCCAATAATTTCGTCAGTTCGGGGGGGCCTTACAAGGCCTTGTGAACTGCCTCTCCTTTCCGTACTCAAGACCGTTGTTTCGGGTTCAGGGTTTCGGGCGTAGCGTAAGGCATACATGAACATGCCCCTCAACCCTAAACCCTAAACCCTAAACCCACAAATGCCTGCATGTTTAAGGCCCCTTTATTGCACGCCCTTTACACAAGTAGGCTTTTGCATCAGCTGGGGCGGGTTTTGAGGTTAGGGCTAGGGCTTCGGATTTAGAATGATTTCGGGTGTTCGGTTTACGGTTTCGTATTTGGGCAGCACAGGAGCCAAAGACGATTTAACGGGCTGAGACCCTCCACTTGACCAGGCACCCCTATCACGAGAAGGGCGGGCCAATGAATATTTCTTTCACATGCACAACGGCCATAGTTAGCGGAATCACTAGTATTGGCGGTGATGAATATATAGATAGATAGATAGATAGATAGATAGATAGATAGATAGATATAGAGAAAGAGAGAGCTAGTTATATATATATATATATACATACGTACATACCTAGGGCGACTCTAAGGGCAGAATATTACTAGTCTTTGTGACAATCCTAAGCTCTAGAAGATATGACGAGCATAGTATATTGAAGGGGCATGCTACAACCTATCAACCGGACCTGCTAAGCCATAGGGTCCATCAAGGTACTGCTATGGGAGATACTTTCTTAGACCATCATAACCTATGTAGGTACTTAGGTCCTAGAGGGTAAAGATACTTTCTTAAACCATCATAACCTATGTAGGTACTTAGGTCCTAGAGGGTAAGGTCCTAGAGGGTAACTTCAAGGTACTGTTATGGGAGATACTTTCTTAAACCATCATAACCTATGTAGGTCCTTAGGTCCTAGAGGGTAAGATTGGGAGCTATGATTAGAGGGACCCTTGGGGATATAGACCCTCTCAATAAGGTCCCTTTTAAGAGAGCCAAAAGTAGGGTTCAGAAGGGGTACCCTTTAAGGGGTGCCCCTAATAATCCTACTTAAGGATTAGTTCAGGAGTCGGTCATTGCAACAGCCGTCCCAAACAGCCACAGCAGAAGCAGCACGTGGCCATCAAGACCCGGCATGGCACCCCGGAAACCGGAAGTTTAGGATGATCAGGGCTTGCCAAGCTGTCGAGCCGCAAACGGCTAAGCGGTTTAGGGTTTAGGGTTGAGGAACCCTAGAATCAGAAAGCACAAACCCGACGTAGACACTCTGGGCTGACGGGCGTCTAAGCCCTACATAAGCCCTAAACTTATGAGTTGAAATTCCCAACCTGAGCCTCAAACCCGCAACCATGGAAGCCTGAAGGAACGTTTGCAGGAAGCCGTCTAAAGGAGCGCCGTAGACCCGCAATCTGCAAAGGAATTCGTCGATTATGGACTCTCAAGAAAAGCAACGGCCGCCTAACCTAACCTTGTCTCATTCCTGTAAGGGATAAGTGTCTTGAGTCTCTGTTTATCAAAATAAAAAAAGGGCTTCTGCTATGAATCCGACACCCGGCCCGAAACCGTGCATCCAGAAAGCTTGAACCCCAAAAACCCCGTTGTCCTTCTAAGCTCTAAAGCACCAAACACTGAAACCCTATAGGATCCCAAAACCCAAGACATGGGACTCCGAGGTCTTATTGACTTACCCTAAGGGTCCATGTACCCAAACAATCCCAAACAGTATATACATTGGCCCTTAAGTAGCTATATAAATAGGGACTATACATTAAGGCCAAAGTATATACTATTTGGGCACATGGACCCTCGGGGTTAACACCTCAAGTCATGAAGCCCTAAAAGAACGTAACGGCGCCTGTAACGTGCCTTGCATTTTTGCATACAGCTTGAAACGCACTATTTACAGCAAAACGCATCAAGCAGAAGGGCAAGCATGCTTGAAGCATCCTATGGCTTTTGGATGTTTACAGTGCTACAATAACCTAGACGGCGGCAGCGTTTTCGCACAATCTGCAAGCTCAACTTTGTCGGGGCTTAAATTTCCTGCAGAGGCCGGCCAAGGATTTATGCGCTTGTGGCAACGCGTCCACAAAGAGGCAAACACACTGTAAATACCAGTGCTTTCGGCATGGCCGCCAAAGGCATGCATGCTTGTGACAACGTGTCTTGCTCCACATCCTTGTGCAGCATGTTGTACGAAGAGCGAATTGCTGTAAGCATTGCCGCAGTACAAATGATGTTCTTACCGCCCCTCCACCCCCCACCCCGCGGCCCCACCCAAACTGGACCCAAACACGACAACGCAGGGGGCGCTACGGGTGCCGTCGCCCAAAAGAACTATCGGCCCTAAACACTAAACCATCGGGGCTTAAGCATCGCCCTGCAGTGCGCTGCGGACATCCTCGAGATCGGACAGGGCAGCTGCAGGAAGGCCAAGCGCGAAGTTGCAAGCCTTACTTCAGGGGCTGCGGGTTAGGATTTAGGGTTTAGGATGTACAGGGTTTAAGGTGTAGGGATCATGGCATTTAGTATACGTAGGTTGAAGAAGTAGAATTGTAAGCGGGGCTATCTTGCTCCTAACCTTATTAGCTACGACCTATACTTATTGAGTACCCCGGGCCCTCTAATTTAAGGGTTCCTGCAACGGTTCCTATAAGGACTTCGTGGTTCGAGGGCTGCAGGGCTCAGGGTATTGCGGTACGAAAAGTTGTTGAAGGTGTAGGGTTTAGGGTTTAGGGGTTAGGGTTTAGGGCCCTTAACCATAAACCCTAAACCCTATACCCTATAGGGTTTAGGGTTTAGGACTCGGGCCGTAGGGTTGTTATGATGACTTGTCAGGGTGAGGAAACGAGGGATCGCTCGCCGGTCCTAGCGGTGGGCTTGGGATCGGCTGTCCTCGGCGTCTTCGTTCCAGGGCTTTGGGGTTTAAATCTTCAGGGTTTAGGAACCCTAAAGATCCATGTGCTCATATAGCATATACATGGGCCCTAAAGTACCTATATAAGGTTCAAATCTTCCTTTAAGGGTCCAAAGGACCCAATAATAAGCTGCTTTGGTTGCGGCTAACAGTTAGCTAGGTTAAAGTTCGGGAGAGTATAGGATTATCAGGTACTTGGACCCCTAGGTTTGACGTATGTTAGACTGCAAATAGGCAGCGAAGATAAGGATAGAGTAATGTAGGAGCCTCGAATAGGGTTTTGGGCCCACTATACTGTAGTTATAATGAAGAACCCCCCAAAATAGTATTGGTAATTATTAAGGCCCCTATATTACTTCAATGTCTTCCGACCCATCTATCCATACAGTTTTATCCCAACTCCAGGCGAAGGCCAAAACTCAACCATCAACGACAAACCAATACCAACAGCCACAAGGGAAACACGAGAAACCCAATTTCCAGCCTTCATGGCGGATAATAAAAATAATAACAATCATAACTGTCATTGGTGTTTGAATATATAAGTCACAACAATGGTGGAGGTGAATCTATACCCTGAACACTCAACCCAGTTCCCTGAGTCTGGCGCCGACGCCTGGTCCTGCGCAGAAGAGCTGTGGGAGGCTCACATCCACACCCACAAGGCCCAAACGAGCAAGAACCCTGAGCTCCCTCCGAAGCTACATCGGGGAATCTGACACCCTCAACCCTAAACCCTAAACCCTAAACTAAAAACCCTAAACCCTAAACCCTAAACCCTAAACCCTAAACTAAAAACCCTAAACCCTAAACCCTAAACCCTAAACCCTAAACCCTACACCCTAAATATCCTCAGACTCCGACTCCTGTGCTCCAGGCCCCTGAACTCGTGGAGCTGCGGGCATGGACAACGACATGACTGCAGCTCGCCGTGTAGAGTTCTGGGCTAGAGCCTATACCTTTTGTGGTGGCTTTCTTGGGATTGAATACTACAAACAACCCAATTACCATGCGCACACCCTAAGCCCTAGACCCTGAACCCTATATAGGAAGCCCGTTCTGGCAGCAATAAATACTGTCCAGGTGCATGGGCTGTGAGGGTCCCCAAACGGCAGCAAGGCCCAAGTCTACAAGCACTTAGGTAAATCCTGAAACCGATTGATGATTGACCCCTCATAGCATTCCTACGAACAAGTGTCCCAAGTACCCATCAAGTTGTTATGGAAGGTTTGTATATTATAGGAATTACTCTTGTGGTTTGGGCAAGTATCCCCCATAAAGGTAGTTAGGAATCTTTGGTAGACAAACCCTAAGGCTCCATGTGCCCATATAGTAGATACTTAAGCCTTGAAGTACCTATATAGGGACCCCTTTAAGGCCTAAGTATCTACTATTTGG